AGATTACAAATTGTCATAGCAAACCAGAATAAAATTTTACTATTGACATTAGTTTCGATGGTAAAAATTTTACTATTTTTTTAAAAAAAGAATTCCATGGTCAACATGAATTTTATTTGATAAATTTTAACGAGAGAATTCAAAAAATACTAATTTTATTAAAAACCAATATATATATCAAAAGTTATATCATTTGGAAGTTTGAAATATAAAATTAGTTACTAAGGGCAAGATTGTCCGTAAAAAATGAAAAGAAATTTGTTTGTTCCTCATAAAGGATACGCTTCTTCAGGGGATTTACAAAATTTAAAAGTTTTGGTTGTTCTTTTTACTAAAAAAGGAGCCCAATGGAGGGGTTTTGGCCAAAAAAAACCTTTACCAAAGCTATTTTCTTGTATAGCACGGAAAAAAAAAAAAAAAAAAAAAAGGGTAAACTACCAATAGGTCCTAATAGTTGGACTTAATTCCCATAAAATCCTATTGAAAATAAGTCCTGGTAAAATAGTCGTTAAAAATAATTTTTTTTGACAATCTTTTATATATGTCGCTAAAAATTGACAATTAGTGACTTTTTTAAAAGTTTTGGTTGTTCTTTTTACTAAAAAAGGAGCCCAATGGAGGGGTTTTGGCCAAAAAAAACCTTTACCAAAGCTATTTTCTTGTATAGCACGGAAAAAAAAAAAAGAAAAAAAAAAGGGTAAACTACCAATAGGTCCTAATAGTTGGACTTAATTCCCATCAAATCCTACTGAAAATAAGTCCTGGTAAAATAGTCGTTAAAAATAATTTTTTTTGACAATTTTTTATATATGTCGCTAAAAATTAACAATTAGTGACTTTTTTGTCATGATTTTATAAATTGTCGCTAAAACTTACAATTTGTGACTTTTTTATGACAAATTATTCTCACAGGACCTATTAGACAATAAGTCCACTTATTAGGACCTACACGTAATACCCCAAAAGAAAAAGGTTTTGTACTTTGGCTATTTTCTTCAAGCTTTAAAACATACAAAATATGAACACACCGAATTCCAAAGGTAGATAACTTCAAATTTTCAGATTATAATCCACTAGAGAATGCAAGCACCAAATTGTTGTAAAATTTATAATTATAAAAAAATTCAGAAGAAACTAATGTGCATGAAAGAACAACTCTATGAAACAAAAAAGAATTCCTTATCAACCTCATCTTTCTTTCTATTCTTCCTTCTCATACGCTTCTCCTTAGTTGCACGAAGCGGGAGCGGGGGCGGGAGCGGGAGCGAGGAAGCGTGAGCTGATAGAAATTTCTTAGGTTGGGAGCGTCTCGGGGAGCGGTAATATATATATATATATATATATTTTTTAATACATATTAATTATTTTATTTATTTATTATATTTTTTAAATAATACTGTATTAAACTCTATTTGTTTAACTTTCATTTGAATAATAAAAAAAAAAAACACCATCATAAAAATAAGATTAAATTACACAAATTCGAGCAAATTCATTATAATTTTTGCAATAACAGTTATAAAGCGGTGGTTTGGGATGATCTAAATAAATGTATTTTTTTATTTTTTTGTGAAATATGGGTGGGTATGGGTTGGGTATGGGTTGGGTATGGGTTGTGTTTGAAATGATGTGATAAAAAGGTAATGAGACTTAAATAAGATGATGTGACTTAAATAGGATAATGATTTTTTAACTTTTTGACTTTTTTAAAGTGTCCCAAACAAGGCCTTACAAGTATAGAATTCTAAATAAAATTTTATGCAATTGACAGTGACAAAAAAAATAAATAAATAAATAAAAAATAAATCATAGTTGAAAAAAAACAAATTAAAACTCTTTTAAAATTCTAAAACATTTTTTTTTTCGCAATATATATATTTTTTAAAATTTTTGAAGCTAAAAAAACAAACTGCCAACAAACCCATATCTCCACTCCCTGTTTTTTGATCTCCACTTCATCTCTCAGAACAAAACTGAAAGCCCCATCTCAACAACTACACTATTAAGAGAGAAGAACATGGCATAGCTCAATAGAGCTTCCAAAAACAGAGGATTCTATGTAAGAATGAGACAATTACACAACACCACCAAGCATTATGGAAGACAAACAGAGAAAAAGACCCATTGCTACAGATACCTCAAATGGGTCCTATGGTTTTCTCTCTCCTCTTCCTACTTCCTCACATTCTCCCCCATTACCCACCATTCCTCCGCCCACCTCTCTCTCTCAAACCACCACTGCTTCTCTCTCTAAAACCATTTACCCTCTCGTGCCCTGTTTGAGTCACTCATTGAAACTTCCAATATGGAACTGAAGCCGAGGCTCCGACCACGTCTTCGTCGCTTCTCACAATTTCGGAGCTTGTTTTCACACAATGGTGAGAAATACAGAAGCTAAAATGTGTTTTGGCTATTTTTTGGAAGTGTTTTTGAAAATTTGATGGTTTGCTTTGGGAAAAAGGAGATAGCGATTGAAAATGGAATACCGGAGGTATTGAAGAAGTCGATCATATTGCAGATTAGGACAATTTTGGCGTCCAAATGCGGGGGGTTATAGGAATGTTACTGCTTGCCCGAAGTGTCCTTCTCATGTAAGAGAAGAGATTAGAGAGTTCATGTCCAAAAAAAAGACACAAAAAGAAGAAATGAACATGTTGCCTGATTTTGATGACATGGACATGGACATGGAAGATGAAGATGAAGATGATGATGTTGTTGAGATCAATGTCAATCAACACCGTAAGTTGACAAGTAGTAGCCAAGGTTCATCCAAATCCAAATCCAAATAAAAAATGCCAAAGAGAAAATGGCCTATGGATGTTTACTTCACACCCAATCCTGAATCAGTGGTGAAAAATCGAAGAGACCAAGCAAAAAGGAAACAAACAAAAATTGATGCAAATGACCCTTACAAAAAAGAAATGAGAGCTCGGGCACTGCAAAGATTTGCAAGGTTATGAGAGTTTTGGACCAATGATTGAAGCCATTGGCCAATATGGTCCTGGTATGAAGCCACCGACTTACCATGAAGTGCGGGTTACCCAACTCAAAAAAGAAGTGAAACATACTGAAGATTTGATGAAGTATCATAAAGAGGATTGTGCAAAATACGTGTGTTCCATAATGGCTGATGGTTGGACTGATAAGAGAGGAAGGACATTGATTAATTTTTTAGTTAATTGTCCAAGAGGAACCATGTTTGTTGAGTCGGTTGATGCTTCTAGCTATTCCAAGGATGGGCAAAAGCTATTTGAATTACTAGACAAGTTTGTGGAGAAAGTTGGAAAAGAGAATGTCGTGCAAGTTATCACTGATAGCGCTGCAGCTAATGTGTTGGCGGGTAAGAATATTTCCTCATTCCTTACATCAAAATTGTTTACTCATAATTTGTTTTGTATTTAAAATTTAAAAACTTGAAAATAATAATTCTTCATTATTGTTACATTATAGGGAGGTTTTTGGAAGCTAAGTATGAACAGTTGTATTGGACACCATGTGCTGCTCATTGTTTGGACTTGATGTTAGAAGACATTTTCAAGATACCTAGACTGAAAAAGACATTTGAAAGGGGTATTGCAGTACATGGCTACATTTACAATCGGCCTACGTTGTTAAACATGATGAGGCGCTATACAAATTTGAAGAATTTGATCAAGCCTGCAAAAACTAGATTTGCAACCGCTTTTTTGACTTTGTCTAGGATGCATCAACAAAAAAACAATTTGAGAAAGATGGTCACCTCCGAAGACTGGACCTCAAGCAAATCGGCAAAGGAGCCACAAGGTAAAAGAATGGCACAAACTTTGTTGATGCCTTCATTTTGGAATACTGTTGTGTTTGCCCTTAAGGTCTTGGGTCCTCTTGTCAAAGTGCTTAGATTTGTTAATACTGAGAAGAAACCTCCCATGGGATACATTTATGAGGTAATGGATAGGGCAAAAGAATGCATTGCAAGTTCATTTGATCATAAAGAAGAGAAGTATAATGAAATCTTCGAAATCATTGACAAAAGATGGGATGTCCAATTGCATCGACCTTTACATGCAGCTGCGCATTTTCTTAACCCAGAATTCTTTTACCCAAAAGCGTTAGAGGTGCAAAGAGATCATGAAGTGATGAATGGGTTTTATGAATGCATGCAAAGGTTGGTCCCGGATGTCACTGTTCAAGATTTGATCACTAATGAGATGAGTATTTATATGAAGGCTGAGAGTCTTTTTGGCAAGGCTGTTGCGATTAGGCAAAGAAATACAAGAGCACCAGGTAATATATTATAGACTCATAGAGTTTATTTTTAGTAATACTTTTAGTAAAACTTAATACTTGGTAACAATTATTTCTAACTAGTGGATTATCGCAGCTGATTGGTGGGCATCATATGGTTCTTATACTCCAAACTTGCAAACTTTTGCTATAAAAGTCCTTAGCCTAACATGTAGTTCATCGGGTTGTGAACAAAATTGGAGTGTATTCGAACATGTGAGTATTTAACATTCTAACTAATTTTTTGTTGAATTCAAATATTTTTTATTAAATTCAAATATTTTTTATTCTCATTATATAGAATTTAATATCTTTTTAATACTTGCAGCTTCATAGCAAGAAAAGAAATAGATTGGAACAACGTCTCAATGATTTAGTGTATGTCAAATACAATAGAACATTGAGATTTAGGTATGACATGCGCAACACTCTTGATCCCATATCTTTGCAAAATATTGATGAAAGCAATGAGTGGTTGCTTGGGAGGATGGATGGAGAATCAGATGAAGATAATGAGCCTGTGTTTGATGATGATGATAGCTTGACGTGGGCTACTGTTGCTAGAGCTTCTGGAGTAGAAGAAAGTAGCCATGCAAGTAGAGCAACAAGTTCACGCTCAAAGGCACAACCGAGGATATCTAAACCATCAACATTGACTCCACTTCAATAAATAGATGAAGAGGAAGCGGGCTCAGATGACACAAAGGAGGAAGATGTTGAGGGATACAAATCAACTGATGGAGAAGAAGATGATAGTTTGCTTGCTATTGATGTTGAGGATGATGATTGACTGACACCGACCTAACCTACCCTTTCTTTTGATATTGATGTTTTTAAGTGTTAAGTTAAGACATATATTAATATTTGTTGGATATTTATGTTTTGAATATTTAGTGTTTATATTTTTATTTTATTGAATGTGGATTATTTGATCTTTGAAAATTGGAATGTTATGTAATATGCACTTTCATGGCTTTGAGAACTATTCTATATTTTGTCTTGAATCTTGATTACTTTTTATTTTTTTAAAAATTGTCTTACTACTATGAATGATTAGTCTATATTAATTTTTCTATTTTTTACGAATATTGTGCGCCTTACTTCAATAAAGCCCGCGCATCGCCTTGCGCCTTGCGCCTAGGCTCCAAGAGACCTTCGGCGCCTTAGTGCGCCTTGAGCCTTTAAAAACACTGCACTAGAGAATGCAAGCACCAAATTGTTGTAAAATTTATAATTATAAAAAAATTCAAAAGAAACTAATGTGCATGAAAGAACAACTCTACGAAACAAAAAAGAATTCCTTATCAACCTCATCTTTCTATTCTTCTTTCTCAAACCTCTTACTCCTTAGTTGCACGAAGCCGGGACGGCGGCAGGGGGCGGGAGCGGCCAGCGAGGGAAGCGTGAGCTAGATAGAAATTTCTTCTAGGTTAGGAGTCCTGTCTCGCGGGAGCGGTAACACAATTAATCCTACTATACTTATATATTACCATACTATACCTAATATTTTCAACTACCATATCTAACTCCTATTTTATTTATTTATTATATTTTTTAAATAATGTATTATTGTTAATTTATTTTTTTATTTTTAATTCATATATATTATAAATAAAAAATTATAATAGATAAGGAATAATAAATTATGTTAAAATAAATAAAAAGAAAAATTAGATATTTTATTTTATAATTTTTTTTATTATATATGGTTTAATTAGATTTATTTTAAATAATTGGATGATTTATTTTATTTATTATATGTTAAAAAGTTAAGAAATAATAATTTACAAAAATTATTATTATATATGATATTTTAAAAAATAATAATTAGATATTTTATTATATATAATAAAAATTATAATTTATAAATTTTATTATATATATTAAATATGATAAATTATATTTATTATATATGATCCATTAAAACATAGAGACGAAGAGAGTGAGAACAACGAATAGATTGAGAGAAAGGGAGAGAGAAGCAGAGAGGAAGTGCAGAGACGAAGGGACGAAGAGAGAGAGAGAGAGACGAAGACGATTGAGAGAGTGACGAAGATGATCGAACCCCTCAGAGACAAAGACGATCGTGATCAATAGTGAGAGAAGAGAGTGACGAAGACAATCAAAGCCTTAATCCGAGCCCTAAACCAATCCAACTACAAAGTTGCTACCATTGTTCACTGTAAGTTTCTCTCAAAAACCCTTCTTCCTCCTCTCATGTCGACATCGAAGGCTAGGGTCTCTCTCTCTCCCCCCTTTACGATCCCGTCTTGGACTGAATTGCGTTTCTCTTTGCACAGAAACGCGATTCCTACACGTTTCTTTCTAAGAAACGCGGAATCGCGATTCTTACTCAGAATCGCCACCTAGTTGGACGATTCTTGCAACTAAGCTCTTCTCCTATAAATCCTTTGAGAAGAAGATAGTAGAATCAGGGTTGTATGTGTGTGTGTGTGTGTGTGTGTGTGTGTGAGAGAGAGAGAGAGAGAGAGAGAGATAGACAGACAGACAGACAGAAAGAAAGAGAGAAGAAGAAAAGAAGAAGTAGCTAGTCTAAAAAGAGTACTTCCATTAAACTTGAGATTAGTTATTAAAAGAACTTTCTACATGTTCAATGTAAGTTAAGAGGGAAAGCGATCACTTTTGTAGACCCCAAATCAAAAACTAAGAGAAGGAACCTGGGCCTAATGAAACATATTGTAAATTGGGCATTTTGGGAAGTTAGAATAAGCTAGCTTTTTTTAGCAAAATTGCATTTGGGAAGATAGAAATAGCCAACCAGTGAAATTATCAAAATACCCTCACTTCTTTGCCTTTGGAAAATGTTAGTGGAGGGTAAAATGGTAATTTCAAAAATAGCATGAGGGTAATATGGGAATTTTACAATTTTTACAAATGATGTGACACCATATTATAATAACTTCATAAAAAGCAAAAATACTGCTTATTTAGTAATACACATTTTGTGACCTGATTCTGCCAAATAGGACTACTAGGTAATTTATGAACTTTCATAAAAAGTCACTTATAGGTTATTATATCCATCAAATTAACAGATTGCATATATATTTAACATTATATGCTTTATCAAACTCAACATCTCAAATGAAACCAAAATACCCTACGATATAATCAAGTGACTTGTTCATATAACTTTTTCTTCTCTCTCCCAATTGATCATGAGGCAGAGAGAGAGAGAGAGAGAGAGAGAGAGAGAGACATGATGACTTGTGGGGCCACATGTAGTCATCTGTTCTAGCAGAAATGTGGAAAATGGAGAATGATCTAAAAACATAAAGGCCTTGTTTGTTTTGTGTTTTAGAAAAAAAAATTCAGAAATTTTTTTAAAAAATAGAAACTAATTTGATAAAAATAAATATCAAAAAAATTATTTTAAATTTTTAAAAATTATGTATAAAATTATATAAAAATATTAAATGTTTTTGATTTTTTTTTTATTTCTTTCACTAAATTAATTTTTAGATTTTTAGAAAAAAATTTCTTAAACAAGTTTCTGAAAACCAAACCGAACATTGCCAAGGAGCTTGTACTTTCATCAAAACAGCAGAAGAAAAGCCAAGTTGTAATACACGCATTTTGCATGATGATGTTAACTGTGAATCATCTATTTCTTAATTGTTTTGGTGGTTTTGGGGGCTGAGTGTTGTTGGGTCACGCCCCACACTCCCGGCCAGCAGGATGGTTCTCATAGTTTGTTCCACGGTCCACATGTTTTGGCATAGAAACTTTTGAGTAAATTTTTTGGCACCAATAGGTCTGGTCACAGACAAAAAAGTACCTGCAATGCGCTCTTCACATTCTTTGATCAAGTTGGTGAATCTCAAATCTCCGAGAGCCAAAGAAGCTCCTGCTTCCAGAGCAGCCTTAGCTGTCTGATATTCTTCAAGCTTGATACATGCAGTGCTGTAAGAAGAAACAACAAAAAAATGAAAAAACTGGAGGAAGTTCCGTAAAGAGGGAAATGTATAAAATATAGATTCAATATGAAGCATTGTGATCCAAAGTAAAAATGATAGGTGGTGTGAAGAAGATGTTGGCACTAGCTCATAAAAACAGACAATTAACAGAAGTAAATCATAAATATCAGCCCAACACACTGAAATGGATATAGGGGTACAACGTCAAATAAGCAACTAGAAAAGGAATGACAATATGCAGCCTACAAAACACTCTGAAAAAAGGAATGACCAATAAAGCACGTTATATGAGTGGACGATAGGAATTCCGAATCAGAAATTCACGAATCACTTAAAAGAACTCATATTGTTCTAAAAAGTGATTAAAAAAATGAAAGCAATATTTTGAATCATCAAGGAAAAAACTGAGAGAGAGAGAGAGAGAGAGCTAATGACCAATAACACAACTCAAGATGATGTAAAAGACAGAAGGGGGTGCTTCCATCACATGCAGTCGTAAAAAGATACAGCTAACTAAACCAAAAATTACATGTTGGAATAGATTAAATAAAACAATCTTGGAATAGGTTAAGAGTCATCTAGTTAAATAAAACAAAAATATAGAACTTGAATCTTCTATGAACAATATAAATTCATTATATTAGAGACGAACCAAACAATGGAAATAAAGTTTAGTAGAGATAAGAAATGGCCATCTTTTAACAATGTAGGGCCACCTCAACCATCCAAAGAAAAAAAAAAAAATTAAAATTAAAATAATGTACCACACCTAACACTTGGACATGTTCATTTAGGATGTCAATGCAGAAGAATGAAGAAAAGTAACCGCTATTCCATCATATAAAATTTGAACATAATTTGAATAAATGAAGGTCAAACTTCTTTGCAAAATTGCTACACTGTTGGGTCAGGCCCAAATTACCACATCGTTTGCCCATGGCTGTTCCTGCAGATTTCATGCAGACCTTCAATTTCCATTTTAATTGTCATGTGCACCAAATGTAGCTCGAATCAATGTGACTTTCTAATGACTTTAATCAAAAGCTAAAGAACAGTTTCATGATCCATTTTTTGCAATCCCCAGGAGTACTACCAACAGTTATTTTTCAATCATAAAATTTATTAACGTTCATCCTGCAAGAATGCATTGTACGCCCCAAAGAAACTGAACATATCTTTCTTCAATAAAACTTTATCAACATAACACATTTTCATAATGCAAACAAATGCAAGATATGATACATGGCCCAAAGCAGTAGCAACATAAAAACTCTACTCTAGAACCAAGATATGCTTCCATCCTACATAAATCATGAGAGAGTGAGAGTTGCCACCCCTACCCAAAAGGGTGTAACCTTCATACAAAAACCATACTGTGGAGGATGAAAATTTGGCCCAAGCAGGCCCAAAAGGTGTCAGCCCAATACTTGAGACCAGAGTTTGTTCAGTTGTAGAAAACCACGAGGAGCCGATCACCATGATCGGCCCAGATTAGCACAATCTAGCCAATTTATACAAAATGACCTCTGACAAGGGCTCATACGTCCGATGAAAAGGGGGATATCTAAGGGCCTACAATGTTGACAAGTTGAGTACAATATGCCTATAAAAAGACCCAACAATGCTAGAGGCAAGGACACAAGGAGAAAAAAACACACATACACAAATGAATTCAATTTAGTTATGTCTGATCTTGGGGCTGACTTGATCGTCAGAGCCCCGACCAATATAGATCGGGAAGGCCACTGACTTTGGATTTTTCTCGCAGGGAAGGCTAAAGAAAAGCGCATTGTCAAGCCAAATCCTTGTGGAGACAAATTCACTATCCACATATACAAATTCAAAATAGCTCAACACGAAATTGAGCTATCCTATCAAAACTGCAGGAGCAAAAATGGGTTCACAATATAATAAATAAATCTTTTACACCAAACAATGAAGGCTATGAATTAAAAACATCTTGAGCTTTTGAACTCCCAATTCTATATCTTCATAAGTAAGCATGTTCCTTTCTCTCCACAACACCATATAGTACATAAAGGCATCACATTACAAGTTTTCTTCCTTTTCAACCTGCATCCATGATCCATACCAGCAGCACTCTAAGTTCAGAACAAAAGCTGAAATTACTCAATGAACATAAAACATTGTCAAAAGTAAATTCCATAGCTCCCTAGCAACATTGCAATGAAGCAACAGGCTGTCTCCTTTCCTCTATGACAAAAGCAGCACCAATTACGAAGTCTGAAGTCTCTCTTTTACCAAGTTATCAATAGTAAGACTAAAGTCTAAAATAGTTGTCAACAAAAAGAATGCCGCTTCTTTTGGCACTCCAAACTTCCAAATAATCTTTGAAGGGGAAGGATTTCTAGCCCCTCCAATAATTATCAAAGAGTGATAGGACTTAACTAAGAATTATCCTTTTACCATGTTTACACCTAATTCTATTCACCCCATTCCTAGACATAAACCCCATCAAGGAGCACAAGGAACTCATCCATAGCCTCCAATTTCCAATCTTGATGGGAGGTTCTCACACCATCCCAGAATTGGAGACTCTCAAGTAATCTGCTACAGGTTTCAACATTCTACTCAAATCTTCAATAATGTCTCAAAACCAATTCTCCAAAACATAGATTAAAAAGTAGCATTGTTGTAAGCTTTTTCAATATCGAACATAAAAATAACTCATAAAGACCCTTCAAAAAATATTTTGGCTCAGGTGTTCTAAGAGTTTTGGTTAGGTTGCACATTCGTCACTTCCAAGAAATATTTTTCCTTCTCTTTTCTCACTTCTACTTGACCAAACTCCTGGAACACTTGAGCCACCATCAACCATCCATTCCCAATTGCCCACCCTCTTAACTCTAATTTCCCACTAACTTTCCTGACCTTCGTAGCAGAAAACTCCTATTATACACAATTCCACACTCCCAAGCGAGAAGGTTGTAAAAAACTAGCTCCCATCGAGGAAGAAATCCCAATTGAGATAAAACCTCTCAAACATACAAATCTCACGAACACAAAAGCAAAACTCAAACTTATTTTAGTAATTTCTATTTACATAATATTTGTTTATGTTTAACAAAGACAATTTGTAGTTGACATCAATCTCTAATAGTTATTCATATTCTAACACATATTACAACTAAGCAAAAAATAATAATTGTTAGAATATATTATATATTTAACATATAAAATATATACACTCCCATAGACACTCCCAACTTTAAAAACTTCTATATGCCCTTGCTCTCCCGCCCCTACTCCCTTCTCCACCCTCGCTTTGTGCAACTAAAACTAAAAGTCAATAGCACATCGACATTCTAAATACCAACTTTGGCCATGCATCCATCATTAAATGGCCCACCACTTGCTCGCTAGGAGAAATCCTAATGCAGAATGACTATAAAGAAATTCATTCAACCACCAAATTGATTCCAAAACCGTAATGTATGTAAAATTGATCCAAAAAAAAGATCAAATATTAAGAAGAATAAGAATTATGAAAGAAAGGAGAACCAAGGGTCAAAACCCTAATCTCATAAAATGGCCACAACCTTAAAACACTCTCAATTAGGGGTGTTCACAGGACGGGACGGGACGGGACGGGACGGGTCCACCTTTGAACAATCAACCAAGCCGTCACCGTCACCGTCACCGTCGCCATCAGGTTATAAAAGCACTCACCCATTCCCAACCAACCTACAGTTAGAAATCGACCAACTCAAACCATACGGTTTTTCAGTCTATTTCGAACAGTTTGACAGACAACATGGAAAAAATGATTCAAAGTTCTAATAAGCAAATCTCAAACTCATATACATACATTATATACTAATTTTAACAACATCAACACATATCTAAAATAAATATAAAGGGGAAAAAAAGGGAAAAACATGAAACAAAAAGAAAACTCAACATGCCACCAACCAATCGCCACCGGCTCCGCTCATTGCCTTCCATTGCTCATCTCCATCACCGCCATGGACCAGCATCACCACCATCGAAGAGGGAAGGGAAAAAGGGTTTTTGCATGAGAATGTTAGAGAAGGTGTAGGGTTGCTTGAAACTCTAGAGAGAGAACGAGAGACAGAAATTTCTTAGAGAGCAAGGAGGGGGGGGGGGAGAGAAGTTGCATAGACAAATCTTGAGAGTAGTCTGTCTCTATTCTTGAGAAATGTGAGAATTGATAAGATTAGGTTTCTCTCAAGATAAGTGTAATCTCCTAATGCCAATAAATATGTGACATGTAGCTATAAAAATCTAGACCTAAATATAACCGGATGGGTTGGTTTCAATGGGTTCAAAGTGTTAAGGCCCCCTCCCCGAACTAAGAATCGCAGATTTCACCATTTTAGTACCGCAGCCAACCACAAGGAACTTCGAAACCGTCCATATCTCTTTCGGTCCGGTTCGTCAAGTTGATCAAGTTACACGGATCTGTGAACACCCCTACTCCCACTATTATTAATTTACAGCTAACTAAAACTATTACATAAAAGCTATATACACAGACAACTCTAAATTACATTAAACATCATAAATAAATAAAATTACAAAATCCCTAATTTCTCCTTTATCACACACCTTTTGTTTCCCATCACATTCACCATCTTCTCACAAACATCTCAAATCCACTTTCGGCAACTTCAAATACCCCTCCCTCTCCACCCGCACATACCACTTTCATTGCACCCCACCTTCATCAATTCGGCCAAAGGTCTTACTCTAGATGATGTAGGATGATTAGGAACAAGGCTGTAAGAATGGTAAAGCTGGATTCTGTGGGTTTTTTTTGTGATTTCAAGCTGAAAAGTAATTAAAAATTAGGGCTTTTACTAGTATACGGAAGAATTAGGGTTTAGGGGCTTAATGTAATAAGCTGAAGATTGAATTTTGGGATTGTTTTGGGTACTTTACAGTACCCATGAACAGTATTTTGGACTGTTAAAAGTGCTGAAATAAAAGAGGGAAAGAAAGAGAAGAAAAAGAAAGATCTAGGGATCACTTCTAGAATCCCTTAGGCACCACACCTAGGATTAGGGTTGTATCACACAAACCCAAAGAGGCTTCAAAGCTCTCAAAATTCTATAAAATATCAACTCCCTCAAATTATAAGCATTACATTGTTTTATATAGGATTAATAGACTTCCTAAACCAACTACGACCAAAAAAAGGAAACTACTAAAATATTTTTAATTTCTAAAACTAATTTAAGACCAATAAGAAACAAAAACAAAGACTAATTAAAAAACTTAACCCATAAGACTACCCATGGGCAACCCATACAGCCCATGTCAGTAAATATAAAATTACCAAAATACCCCTAACCTTAAAAATCTTAGAAAATATAAAAATAATAATAAAATAAGACTCTAATAATACTAGAAACATAATTATAGTAGATTTCTATCAGTTTCTCTATGAAATCATGTCAATGTCCACGTATCATCACTTCTCTAAATTTAGCCTTCCTTGAGCTTCTTATACTCTTGTCATCACTAGATCTAGACAGTTTCTTCATCAAATAATCAATATGACATGTTTCCACTAAAACAATGGAAATAATTGACATGTGATTTAAATTGAATTTGAGGAGTTACATTTTGCATCCAAAATGCTGAGTATTTGGTCATATACTAAACCTCAGTCTTACTTTTTACAAATATTAATTAATAAATGGAAGAGTTACAACATGTCATCTTGATCACATGGCGTGTCATTACTCAACTTTTTTTTTTTTTTGGATAAATTGTCAACTCATACAATCAAATAGAGAAAAAACTGAAACACTAATCAAAAGATTATATCTTCATTCGACCAAACTACACTAGAAAAGATACCACCTATGGGAATTAAGTAAATTATCCCCACAATGCATACCTGGTACTTCTCAAGGTAGAGCCAATGTAACCATATACACTACAAAGATATCGTTACAAATACCAAGAAAGGGCAAACAATAAGAAAACAACATTCACTATCAACTAAGAAGCATGGACACAGATGCAGACAGAGGGCACGGTAATTTTAAAAAAATGGGGATACGAACATGACAGGGACACGGCAATAAAAATATGCTTTTACATATTTTATTTGCTATCTAGATTAATATTACAGCCACAAACAATCAATGCTAACAAAAACTAATTCTAATTCTTTTTTTCTTTTTTTTTTTTAAAAAGCACTTTTAAATTAAAACTTATAGTTTATATCTTTTTTGTGGATGATCTATTAAGTATTTAAATATAAGAAAAAATAATAATAAGCATCCAGCATTCATCAAAAGCACTAAATAAAATGGGAGAAAAGGTAACTTGACGTATCCCTATTGTGTCCCCTGAAAATAAATTAATGAAATAAGGAAACACGCCATATGGTGTATCCCATACGTGTCCCCGAAATGTTCACGTATCCCCTAAGTTTCCGTGTGTCCAACATGAATATGGCACTTATTTTGAAGTACATACACCATCTAGATGCCAGGAATTCAAAAAAGACCCTAGCAATTACATGCAAATATGCTTTAGACCTATGAACCATCGATACTTCAAAATGGGTATCATAGTTGTGTCAAAAATGTAAGGGACACGGTGGCAACATGGGAGGGCACAAGTGTGACATGCCACATAGCATGTCCATTTTATAATCATTTTTTTAAGGGGGCATGGTGGCGACATGATGGAATCTTATTTTAATTTTCCAATTCTAATTTCAGAAATCATAATATAATATTTGAAAACGTAATGATTGATTTTTTTTATTTTTTTTTAAATAGAATTGAATCCATATCAAACCATCAACAATGCAACATAGATCTAACACAATTGTGAAGTTGAGAGACTGGCTTCTAACAATCCCTGAAGGCTAACACAACACTGATCTAGTCTCCAGTTTATTTAAATTTAGTTTTTTTTTCATGTTAAATTAATGTTAGTTTTTATTAATTTTGGTTGTTTATAGATGTAAATATTTATGTAAATACCAAATAAAAATATATAAAAACATTTTTTGTCATATCCCTGTAGTGTCTATGTCTTGATTTGTTTGAAATCGTCATGTCTCGTGTCCGTGCCAGAGTTTGTATCAATGCTTCCTAGCTTTGGACATTAAACAATCTAATAAATTGACACCAAAATTTATGCCAAACAAACTTTGGAGATATTTTATCTAGTACAGGAATACTCACCCTTTACGCAAATATGCTTTGGAGATTGAAGGGTCCAACTCAATTGCTTTGTTTGCATCAGAAACAGCCTCTACTCAAAAAAAAAAAAATTTTAAAAAAAAAAAAAAAAAAAAAAAAAAAAAAAAAAAAAGGTGCATAGATTAATCACCAATGTAAAAAAATGTTATGAATACAAACAATCACAAGTGGATACAACTATTTATCAACCAAAAGCACATGACCAAATGCAAAGAGAACAATTTTTGATAGAAAGACAAACATGTCAACAAATAAGACAATAAAATCTTAAATTTGTATTAAAAAAAAAAAAGAAAGACTTTCAATAGTTCTCTTATAACTACAGGTTAACAATTTCACGAGTGACAAAGATAAACAATATACAAAAGATACCATCAATCAAAAGTCATCCACAGTACCAACTCTACCAAGTTCTACCCTAATCTGACCAAAAGGCCCCAAAAACATATCCAAGACAGTATGCGAAGTTTTTTAAAATCATCCTCCCATCCACGCTCCTTTGATTACAATCTTCACATCCCTTATCTCTATTTTTAAATTTGGACAATTGTTTTAAGATTATCTTTTTTGATATGTACAATCTTTTTTTAGTAAATATCAAAAAAGAAAAAAAAATTATTTACTTTTAACTTCCTACTTTATTTTGTCCACAAATTCAATTTGTGTAATTAACAAAATAAAATAAAATAAAAAAGAACAAGAAAAGATTCAATGAGTGTCATTCACTTGCTAGGGATTGTTGAAGAAGTGTCAATCAATTGTCTTGACTCTTAAATTATGAATTACATTTTCAATTCATCTAAAGTGTCCAAAATGTCTCATCGCCATACTAGTCCAAGGTCCAAGGAGTCCATAGAATAAAATTATTTCTTCTTTTATTACTTTATTTACATGGTTAGTACATCTACGAAAAAGAGAGAGTAGAACAAAGGAGTAATTCTCCAAAATATTCTCTAGGGGCTCTTCACTTTCATTCAGTTGACAGAAACTTGATAACACTTAACTTGCAACAGCCAAAGTTGTGAATATCGGCCTGATTCAAGTACCGTTTTTGTTCTTGGTATGGTATGTACCGGTACCAGTGTACTTTCAGGTACCATTTTGGATTTAAAAGTATTAATATTTATTAACAAAATTTTAGATACATAATAATATATGTTCATCTATTTATGTATAAGGATGCATTTAAGTCATAACTTACATATTAATAATACTATATTTATTATTGGAGAAGCCATTCCAATACCCAATACGTATAGTTGGTACCTAGACTCTTCCTACACATTTGTATCCACAGCTAGACTCAACAATTCATCTCAAAAAATATCATTGTTCGTACTTTTTACTACCACAAACCCAACCTTCTCTCTCTCTACACTTGCCTCTCCGACAAAACCACCCACTATCATCTTCCATTTCACCTCCAGCCAAGATGAAGATGGAATTGAGTTCACTGTTGAAGATGGAAGGTTTAGTAAACGGCCTTCGGTTGTTGACAACGAGGGGCTGTCAAACAGCATAGCAGAGGGAAGGTGGAGTTGCCCTAGTGTTGGATGGAGATGATCACCGTCTGATATCAGCGATGAGGGGTCCGCATAAGGCCTCTCCTCCCATCCAACATTTCTCCATTTGCTAACTGGAACATAGCCAGAACAACTAGTATTTCCCAACAATGGGAAAAATTTTCCAATATTCCCAAAATAGTATAGTATTCACCGAAAAATTAGCCGACACGAAATTGATAATGTATTGTACCTGATTCTTGGAGGAAAGGTACATTTTGGCCGATATCTCTAGGTACGGAACAAGATTAACAACCTTGGCAACAACATCTCAGAGACATTTGATAGGGAGCTTTGAGGTTTGTGAAAGGTTCCATTGGGATAGTATTAGTAATGCAAGAAGCAAAGTTTCTAAATGATCCATTCTTTAAATCCTAAACAATGAGAATAGTAGATTTTGTTTCGTCAAAGAAATAAGGGAAAGGAAAAGAAAAGAAAAGGCTTCATGCTCATTTCTTAAATTTCCTTCCAATGAATATTAATTTTCCATATATTTCAGTTTGTGAAAAGCACGCTGAGGCACTCGCCTAAGAGTGAGGTGAGGTGATATGGAGAAGCCTTGCTTAGATGCAAACATGAGCCTTTTATGCTAAGGCATGAGGTGCTTGAGGCGAGCGCCTCGTTTTCTAGTGTCTTCTTTTTATCTTTTAATCTAGGCCATTTATTTTTTGACTTCTGTACTAAATCTCCCCTACGATTACCACACCATCTAATAACTTCTTAATTATAAATTGTTTGTGAAGCCCTAACACACATACAATCGATGATTGGCAAAAGGAGTCCCTTCAACTTTCTTTGAGTCTTCTCGGACTAGGTAAGCCTTCTCTCTTCTTTTTCTTGTTTGATTTTTTTTTTTTTTTTTTTTTTTTTGTTTGATTTTTTTTTTTTTTTTCTTGTTGGACTATTCTTTTTCTTGTTTGATTTTTTCCCCCTTTTTTAACTTCTTCTTCTACTTCTACTTCTTCACTCCCTTTTTTTTCCCTTTTTTTTAAGTCTATAAAGCTCTTGTTTTTCACCCTTCTTTTTTCTTCAGCCCCTATTTTTTCCCATTCTTCTTCAATTGGTTTGTCTTTTACAAATGACTTGTATTTTTGTTGGATCTTGGTATATGGGATGTTGAATTTGTTGGATGTTTTATATTCCTTTATAAATATTTGATATTTGGAATGTTAGATCTGTGTGATATTTTATGTTCTTTTTAAGGAGTAAATTATTGTAAACTCCTTGAACTACGAGTCATTTGCACTTTGCTCCCTGAACTTCAAAACTCAACAGTTAATCACCTCAAAGTATTATCTTGTTACACTTGACACCTTCCATTAGGATTCTGTTATGAATTTAAACGAAACTAAACCATGTGTGAAGAACATGTCACACTTATTGATTTTTTAGGACAATAATGCCCTTATTTGATGATCTCCTTTGCACTTTGTATCCCTTATCTTAGTGGCAATATGAGATCACCAGATAAAGTCATTATTGTTCTAAAATTTCAACAAGTATGTCATGTGCTTCATATTTGACCTAATTTTGTTTAAATCCCAAACAGAATCTTAACGAAAGCAGTTAATTGTAACAAAATTATACTTTGAGGTTGTTAACTATTAAGTTTTGAAGTTCAGAGAGGTAAAGGGGAAACGGGCCATAGTTTAAAGGGATTTATTGTAATTTACCTTTTTTTTTAATGAAGATTTAGTATTTGGAATGGTGGATGCATCATGGATCTTAGAAATGTTGAAGTTTTTGTTTATATTGTTTATTTAAAAATAAAAATAAATAAATAAAAAATTTCTTTGTTTGCCTCACTTTAATGAAGCCCTCACCCCACGTTGTCGCTTTGCGCTTAGGCATTAGGAGGCCTAGTCGCCTCGGTTCACTTTTTGCCTTAAAAAAAATTGAATTATTTTCCATGTAAGAACTTGTCATCATGCCGAAATATATCCTGTGCTCGATGTTTGCCTCACTTCAATGGAGTTGATAGACCATGTTCAATTGAGGCCCTCGTGTTTTTGGTTGTCAGGAATACAACCTCCCTCTACTAGTTCCTTATTCAATTTTCTTGAGGGTCTGCACCATGGTCAAGGGGGTTTGGTGCTTATTTAGTTTATGGTGTACCTTGGCATTCATATACTAATTCACATCTACTTCTGTTGTAACCCTTTCACCGTTTAGTACTTACCATAAAAAGCATTAATTTATTTAAACATAAATAAGTCCAAATCATCAAAGATATATCTAACGCCTGTTTCCAAACAATGTTGTGCTTTAATGTTTGATGGTCATAAAATTCTCTTCTCTTTCCATTCCTCTCCTGTCTCTTATGCTTTCACTTCTAATTTAACTTGCTAAACAAAACAGAGGCCAACAACATAACTGGCAATTTTGTATCCCACAACAATTACATGAACCAAATTACTGTTAAACTGTATGGAACAAATACTAACAGTATTAAGTATCAGATACCATACAATCATCCAAATGAAACTTTGTTGACAAAACAGTGACAAATCTATAATCAGTGCAACAAATCAATTGATTCAGTGACCGAATTAACATAGAAAATAATGCAAATTCTCTATCCTACTCGAAAACAGAGAAACGGTAAACTGGAAAAAGTCCTGATAATAATACTTTAATAGGAAACACATTTTAGAAACAATTTTATAGTTTTTTGAACTTTCCGAAAATGTTTATGGGTATTTTTTCAGCTTCTTCTTTTTCTTTTTCTTTTTTTCCAGAAAAACAGACCCTACAATCAAAATTTGGAATTTTCTAATGCAAATCTGAACATAACAGAGTCCAATACCACGAATTGAATTTATTGAATCGATTCTTATAGTTTCAAAAAACAAAAATAAGTACACAACAGAAAACATAACAGTTAAACTTTTGATCAGCAACAAAACTAAGACGGATAAAAGATGTGTGATTGAAAGTGAGAGAGAGATAGAGTGGATACCAGTGAAGTTGCTGAGTTTGATGTTGGCCTGAGCGCGGTCAGCGAAGAGCTCGGCGTTCCTAGGGTTGATAGTGATGGCTTGAGAGTAGAGTTCAACGGCCAGTTGAAAGTGGTCGTCGATGAACGCCTCTTTAGCCCTAGTTTCGAGATCCGACGCCATTCGAATGAAAGAGAAATCGCGAGAGAGAGGATTGTAGACGGAGGAGAATTCAACGGAGTCTGATTGAGACGAAACACTACTCGACCTTTATAGTAAAGTTACATACAGGATGGATGGATAGAGAGAAAAGCGGGTGCTAACTCAAGTCCATGATTAGAGAGCATTGGTTCAATAGCCAACAACATCTCCAATGTCGCAACTCATTTGGGGTTTATTTGTTTGGGAATTGATTTCTTTTTTCTTTTTCAAAATTTTTAAAATTTAAAAATTACATGTCGCTTTTTCAAATTTTTAATCTCATAATAAATTATTGATTTTATTAATAAATCGTTAAATTAATTAATAATTTTTAATGATATTGAAAATTTATTTCAATTAACAATTTAGATAATTTTATCATTATATAAGATGGTAGTTAAAAATTTTGACTCTGTTTGGTAGAGTTTTCAAACTTTAATTCTATCCATTGTTTTGAACGTTGTATTTGTTTATGGTTTTTAAAAATTAATTTCACACTTACTTTTGAAAACTCTGTATAAGGCGAGAAAATTTGGACTAACCGAACGTCCCATCGGTTGTTCGGCCGATTAACCGGAACAATGCATAATTTTATTTTTTATTTTTTTTTACAATTGACACGTGTTAATTTTTATATATTCAATAAAAAATATTTTCTGAATTTTTAAAAAAAAATTATGAGTTTTGACTAGAATTTTGAGTTGTATGTTTAGTTATGAGTTGTAAATTTTTGTATCAAATATCATATGTCACATCAAAAATTTCTTACTCAATTCAAAACTCATTTACCAAATAAATTTTCTACACTCAAATCATAATTTCAAAACTCACAATCTCAAAATATAACTTTATTCTCAAATCATATTTAGAAAACTCTACCAAACGTAAGCTTTATCTTTTTAGTTAATTTTGTTAAATAAAAAATTATGACAATGGGATATTTATAATTTTTCAAATCACACGAGACAATCTATATTTTAAACAAATCTCAAGAGATGTATTTATAATTTATCCTAATTTTTTCATATTTACAAAAATACTTATAAAAAAGTAGAAAGGATTATATTTATTTTTTTTGGCTATTTTAGTTAAATCTATTATTCTTTCCTCTTTTTTTTTTAACATGTTTAAGTTTATTAGTGTGTTTCTATAAATGAATAAGTAAATGAACATTTTTCGTATTTTTATGTATTTATTAATGTTTTTAAATATTTTTTTATAAATATTTTATTTTTTAGATGTATCTAAGTAAGATGCATCTAAAAAAATTTTAAAAATTACTTAAAATTTTAAAAACATTCACTAAAAAAAAACACGAAAAAAAAACTCAATTTTAAAAAATTTGAATTTAGACAATTGAAACTAAGCACAGTGATTTATCTTGTATAATTTTAAAAATTATGTCTTGTTTCTTAAAATTTCTAATTTCATAATGAATGGCTTATTTAATTAATAAATTGTCAAGTTATTAATAATTTTTAATAATGTCAAAAATTTATTTCAATTAATAATTCAGGTAGTTTTAACATTGTATAGGAGAGTATATATGAATTCCATTTTTTCAGCTAATTTTGTTAAATGAAAAATTATAACAATAGAGTATTCATAATTTTCCGAATCCCAAGGGGCAATCAAACAAATCTTAAGAGGTGTATTTATAATTTATTCTTTTTTTATTATTTACAATGTATTTATTAATGTTTTTAAATATTTTTTTATAAATATTTTATTTTTTAGATGTATCTAAGTAAGATGCATCTAAAAAAAATTTAAAAATTACTTAAAATTTTAAAAACATTCACTAAAAAACAACACGAAAAAAAAAAAAAACTCAATTTTCAAAAATTTGAATTTAGACAATTGAAACCAAACACAGTGATTTATCTTGTATGATTTTAAAAATTATGTCTTGTTCCTTAAAATTTCTAATTTCATAATAAATGGCTTATTTTATTAATAAATTGTCAAGTTATTAACAATTTTTAATAATGCCAAAATTTTATTTCAATTAATAATTCAAGTAGTTTTAACATTGTATAGAAGAGTATATATGAATTCCATTTTTTCAGCTAAATTTGTTAAAAGAAAAATTATAACAATAGAGTATTCATAATTTTCCGAATCCCAAGGGGCAATCAAACAAATCTTAAGAGGTGTATTTATAATTTATTCTTTTTTTATTATTTACGAAAATACTTATAAAAAAGTAGAAATAATGAATTTTTTTTTTGTGGCTATTTTAGTTAAATCTATGAGTCTTACCCTTTATTTTTTTTAATTTATTTAAGTGTATTAATGTGTTTCTATAAATGAATGAGTGAGTGTATATGTATGAGAGTGCCAGTGTGAGTGCAAGAGTGAGAGATAGAAATTGATTAAGTAGTCTTAAAAAAAAAATAAAAAAAAATTGATAAGTATCATCAATGATGAATTTATTTTTCTTGTCACCACCAAATCTGAAGAGGTGGTGGGATGCTCGGAAAAATGGTTAGGTAATTGTTAAAAATCATTGCCAAAAAAATATTACCAGAGATTGAAGACAGTGGCTAGAGATTCGCCGACGGTCGGAGACGATGACCGAAGATGGTCACCACTGATTGGAGCTGACGGCCGGGCATTGTTGCTGGAAGAAAGGTGGACTCATTGCAGTATTAAATTGGGAATGAATTAGAAGAGGGCATTTTGGATAGAATAATGTTTGAGAGCTCGAATTTGGCCCCCCCTAATCCCCCTAATCCTCAAAACGACGTCGTTTTGGGGATTTTTTTTTTTTCTTTTCTTTTTTCTTCTTCCATGTTCGACTCTGCAACAGCTCGGAGGGAGAGGGAGAGAAAGAGAAAAGAAGAGAGGAAGAGAGAAGAGATCGTCGCCCCATTTGCCACGTAAAAGCTTTCTAAATTTTTTTACCATAGAGCTTTTCTACGGTTTGACTAATTACACCTTTACCCTAATTAATATAATAATTACATTATTATCACCTTATGGTAATGTAAAATGGCCCTGTTTGGTAGGGCTTATTTCTAGTTTATTTCAGTTTTTAGCTTAATTTAAGTTATTTTGATGTGTTTGGTTCAGTTTAACAATACAACTTATAACTTTTTGTAAGTCAAAAATCAACTTATTCTTTGAGTGTGGGAAAGAAGTTTAATTTATAAGTCAAAAATTAGCTTATATTCACAACTATAAGCTATAAGCTGTTAAGTTATAAGGTATAATCACTTTCCCACAGTTCTACCAAACGGGGCCAATGACCCCCTAATTTTAAATTAAATTATATTTTATCACATATAATTATAAAATTAAATATACCTTTTTTTTATCATTATTAGTTGATATTAACATAGTATTAATTAAATATTTGGGATATCACAATATACTTGCAAAAAATAAATTGATAGAATATCAATAGCCTTTTTATATACAAATTGCACTTACCATTCATTTTTTTAAAACACAAACTTGATTAGATGAAAGGGCTATCGATATTTGTAACGGTTCGGGTTGAGATCCAAGTTTTCTATCAAAAATTGGACTTCATCTGAAAATTTTATAAGTGTAAAAATTAAATATTTCAAAACTTACGATTTTGAAAATAATATTTGGCAGTAATTGTTCCATATATATTAAATAGTCTAATTTCATTTTATAAGATTTTTCTACAAGATATTAATCACTTTATTTCAATGTCAAATTTAGAAATTTCAGTTGAAAATTTATTTTTCCACTAAAACTAGGAGAGTCACTTTTTGATTTAATTGGATTTTGTTTTTTTATGTATTTTTCTTTGAATCCAAATGGGGGATATTTCATTATTTATATTGTAAACTTAAATAAATGAAATATAAATGTAAGAGGCAAAGTAAAAGTATTTACATAAATGGTTACATATGAAAATAAGGTAGATGTGCTGGGAATGCCTTAGGAATTGAGCTGTGTGACTAGCTGTGTCTAGGGTGATCGCTTGAGCGATCAAGTGGTTGCTCGAACGGAGATGCAAGACTCCCAGTATTTTCATTTTAGACTTGCAAAACTTCTGAGAGATTGCGTTCATCGTTCGAGCTGTGAAATGTTCGTCCGAGCAATCTAATCGGGATCAACACTTAAAAAAGTCATGTTTGGCCTATTTTCTTTATTCTTTCCAGATTCTTTCTCTCTTTTTCCAACCAGGTGTGTGCTTGAGCGAAGACCCTGGTTTCAGCAAATCATGTCTAGATGTGCTGGGAATGCCTTAGGAATTGAGCTGTGTGACTAGCTGTGTCTAGGGTGATCGCTTGAGCGATCAAGTGGTTGCTCGAACGGAGATGCAAGACTCCCAGTATTTTCATTTTAGACTTGCAAAACTTCTGAGAGATTGCGTTCATCGTTCGAGCTGTGAAATGTTCGTCCGAGCAATCTAATCGGGATCAACAGTTAAAAAAGTCATGTTTGGCATATTTTCTTTATTCTTTCCAGATTCTTTCTCTCTCCTCTCTCTCTTTCCAGCCATTGTTGAGCTTCAAAGCTCTTTAAACATTGGATTTCATCTCCTTTTAGTAAGAATCTCACCCTAGTCCCTTCTACAAAAATGATGAGCATGATGAGGGCTTTCTATTAATTTGAGGGGATAGTGTTTTCATTAAAGTTGGTCTTTCGGGTTTCCCCATCTTCTTTCTAAAGGTAGGGATTTCTTTGCTTCTCCTCAATAGATAGATGGGTGGTATGTTTTTATTGCATAAATCCTTATGTTCAAAGGGATTTTCTTGAAAAGCATATAGAGGGAATTATGGTTTCCAAGTCAAAAGAGTAAAACATGTGATTAAAGTAGATTATGGAATTTTTGGTGTTAAGAGAACATGATTATGTGCTTTATGGTAGAAAGTCCCAAATTTTATCCAAACCCTTGTCACGACCCGAACCCGCCCTTAGAGGTTTAGGCCATGATCGACTAGTAATCCCAGAATACCTTCGGCCTCAAAGACAAAAATGATAATTAAAAATATTAACGGGGCACTGCGGAAGCAATAATAAAAATACAACCATGACCATCGAGCGCACATTTTGAGCAACTAGTAGTTTGGCAGTCAAGCCACACCATTCGAGCAACCAAGTGTGCGCTTGAGCGAAGACCCTGTTTTTAGCAAATCATGTCCTGTTAGGCATTCTTTTGCATCATTTAAACATCCTTAGTCATGGAATAAGTTAGA